GAAATGAAGCAGCACACAGGGAAAGGAGTATCTGAAGCTTCCAGACGCTAATCCCCCCCTCCCTGATCACATTGATTGCACTTAGAAAAGTAGAGCTACAGAAGAAAAGCATGAGTCTCATAATCTTCAATATGTATACCCACTTGTGAGCCAGCGTTTGTCCACGCGATCTTTCTTTTCTTTTGTAATTACCTGTGAGAATTTTTTTGCAGCTGCAGGTCTGAAATAGTGCACGGGAAAGGGTGGAATATTTTGGTAACAAGCCTTTCTCCAATCCTGACTCTCTAGAAATGATGTGTTTATGGACTCCAGAGTGTGTCTGGAATGTTTTAGAGCTTTGAAAATTCACTTGGCTGAAAGTGAGTCCACTTACCGGGCAAAGGAGTGGTTAGTGATGATGGAAACATCCAACCCAGTCCAGTGTTGTTGCATAAGCCACACTGGTGGCCTCAATTGTGGCCAGGCTGATGGAGGGAATGAATGTCTATTTGTCTTCAATTTTAATTTATTAAAAACCATCCGTGGTTAGTGGGGCAGCACTGTTTTTGGAGTGCTGTAGGTGGAAAACACGAAGATGCATTAGGAATCATTTTATCCGCTTAGGTGAGAAGCTGAGTTTGAGTCACAGTTCATGATCCTTTGCATCAATTCCAATCCACCCCCCCCCAAATAAAACCTGCTGAAAAATGAAAGCATATGTGTATCCTTGTTGGTAGAAAATATGAGCTTGACTTGACATAAATTCTTTGGAAGCAAGTCCCTGCATAGAACTAACATGGAAGAGTTTAATCTTTTATTTATTTTTTCTACTTAGTATAAAGACTCACACATCAAGATGAGAAATAGTGCTGTTTTTAAGATCAGATTGTTCCTTTGATGTATTTTATGGACAGGTCAAAATGAAAATGACTAATGTGTGCTAATAAAAATGAGTAAATAAATTATTGTAAAATTTGGTATTTGATCTTTGGGAATTATGTCTGCAGACTGGAAACTTTTAGAGAGGTTTCCAGGGAGGGTTGTTGATGGTGTTATTGATTAATGAGCTCTGGCTATTGGAGGGCTTTGGGGAATGAACAGTTTCAGGGTTTTTGTTGGTTTATAGTCCATGAGGATCAAGCCCAAGGCCTTGCATGTATTCTCCAATATTCTACCATGAGCTAGATCCCCCAGCCTTGCTATTTTTAGTTTCCATAGTGTAGGTTAAGGATTAGAAATGAATATGAAATAAAGGTACTTAAAGGAATGAAGTATTTAGATGTGATAGGGAAATTAGAGACAGAATCCAATCTAAATTTGTAGCTTATATTTCAGATCTTTGTCATATACTATCTCTATATATTTGTCGCATACTATTATAACATATGTTATATATTATATATAATCAATATTGTTATTCAGTTGGATTTTCTATCATGATTCCTTTTAGTTTTTCTGCTACCCATGGGGATTTAATATATTTAAATTTGTTTTTTTTTAATCTACAAATGGTTGTACAAAAGGGTTACGATTGACATGTCCATTAATGTGTTCAGTGAGTAACTCTTGGTCAGATCCTTCCTTCTTTCTGTCATTCTCCCTCCAACCCTACTCACCTCACCCCTCATCCATCATAGCAGGTTTTCCATTTCCTTTCTCACCGATGTACATTAAGGATTATTGTGCATTCATTTCACTTCCATTCATCCACTGCCTCCCTTTTCACAAGCCTTTCAGCTGTCCAATATTCATGCTCTGAAACTATCTGCTAGTTGTTCATAGGGTTTACAGTACGTAGACCACTTCAGTCTAGTTGGTCGTGTATATAAGATGGTGCACTTGTAGTCTGTTCACCTAGGAGATTGTATTTTAGGTCTAAGATCCATTTTCTCCATGGAGAATTCATGTTCTTGATATGAAGTAGCTTTTGTCTCTGTAAAGTGTTAGTTCAAGTTTTACCACATCGGTAAGGAGAAAGAGCTACTCCTGCCTGTTTCCATGATCCAGTTGCTGGGCAGATCTTTTCTACAGCCTTTTATCATGAGCCAATATTTGTTTTTGTCAAACAGATGAGGTTTTTTGTAGACAAAAAATGGTCAGGTCTTGCCTTTTGATCCAACTTGCCTTTTAATTTGGGAACTAGTTCATTGATACTGGGTGTTAAAATCAAAAGGTGTGTAGTAGTTCATGCCATTAAAAATTTTTTAATGTTAAATTCTCTCCTATTTTCTTCCCTTTTTTCAAATTTATATATTCTTTTTGAGTATAAAGGTTATCTTTAACAGTCTTCTGTAATGCTGGTTTAATGGAGATAACTTATTTTAACTTTTGTTTGTCATAAAATATTTTTATTTGCCCATCTGACTCCAACTAGACTTTTTCAAATGAAGTCTGGTGATTTTTACTTTTAATTTAACAAGGAATTTCTTAACAATCTTTATTCTATTGATATATTGCCTTCTTTTTACAGCACATCTCTTAATATTTTGGAATGTAATTCAGAGTAAATAGAACTATTCATACATGTAACTTGTATTATCTGAATTATAACATGTAGAGCAATGAGAAGCAAAATAATGAGATGTGTTTGTTAATATATAAAGGATCAAGTATGAGTACCCAAAAGAATTAGAGCAAAAGGAAGCAGACCCCAAACTGTGCAAAGAATTGAAGCTGATATGGATAATAAATACTAACCAAAGTATCTTAAACTTTTAAGTTTAATTTATACAGTACTTGTGGCCCTAAGTAATTCAGAACCTGACTATGTGAAATAGTGAAAAGACTATTTTGCATTCATGTGGAAAATTACTAACTCTAATGATAGTGTATGTGAGTGCCTTTTGATTGAAGGGCCAATGGAGTCTACAAAATCTTTACCTAAAGGAGAATAAAAGACATGTAAATCCAAGAATAGCTGCCTGAAGTAGATTTGTCTTTTCTGCCCTTCTAGCTCCTGCTGCTTGCATTAGTACATTTTTTTTAATTAGTCACATTCAATGCACAGGTGTGACAATGGAGCCAGGTAACTTTTGGAGATGGGTGAGGTTGGGACAGATGGGGAAAAAGATGGACAGGTGACACTGATCAAGAGGTACTGTACTCAGAAGCTGAATGGAACCACTTTTGTGTATCTACAGAAAGATAACCAAGAAACTAAAAAAAATCTCCAGTGAGATATAATTCTCCCCAAACTATCCACTTTCAAATTCAGATGTATAGCACCAGAAAAAAAATGAAGGGAGCCACTATTTTTCTTTTAGCTATTGAAGGAAAATCAAACAGAACTTTTACAAAGGTCACACATCTATATTCATTCATATCCGCCGTGTAAGAAATATGTTCTGTGCATTACTGGGAGAGAAAGTTAATAATTCCATGTGGTATTCTATATGTTGTAATTAGCCTTCCAAATGTGCTGTTACAAAGATCTGCCTTATGTTGTGTTATAATAAATGTACATATTTTTTCTCAGATTGTATGTTCCAATTTTGGGGTTGAAACTTCTGAGTCCCCTGTGGAATCCTAGCATGGGAGTTGCAAGGAAGAGCATTCTGCTCAGCAGCTTTGTTGCATTATGTTCACAGATGAGGCACACACATTCTACAATTATTTTGAGAAATATTGAAATGCTAGCTTGAATGCACTGCTCTTTTAAAATTCAGTATACTTCATTTGCTTGCTTTTCCTGCAAAGCACTAGATGGGATGGCTATGTATTTTTAAATTTTCTTTCATGATTGTATGATATATTGACAAGCAGAAATGTGGATGTGTGTATATGTATGTGTGAGAGAGAGAGAAAAAAAAGAAAAGATAGTGAAGAATGATTATTAGGAGATCCTAATACTCATTCAATATTAATTTATTTTATTTGAGCGTAAATCCTGAGTGTAATTTCTTTCATAAAATGTGAATGAGAAAATTAAAACAATACAGCCCTTAAATAAAGGAAAAAAACACCATGGGGTCTTTCGTGTGCTAATTATTACATAAAATAAGAATATGGTCAAAATTTATTCAGAGCATTTGTTAACCTCTTCCCAAGTAACATTGTGTGTGTGTGTGTGTGTGTGTGTGTGTGTGTGTGTGTGTTTCAGAATCTTCAAGTGTGTGGTGTTTGTTATTGTTTTCTAGATCTCTCTCACTGGCAACTCCAATCTTCCATTGCTAACTGTAGCCAAACTGCTATTTTCTACCTAAGATAATGGGTTTTTCTTCAAATTTTAACAGTGCCTTTATTTCTAATACCAGCCATAATTGCTCCCATTGGGAAAGGAGGCTTTCATTGCTGCTTTCAACATAAACAAGTCTTTATTCTCTTCTCTGAAGATGATGTGTGTGGAAATCCAGGGCTGACAGCTTGAGTTCTCTCTCCCATATGATCCTCCCCCCATGAGCCGTGGGCTCTGGCCCCTGCCGGTGGAGCCCGCAGCCCTACCTGCCATTAGCTTGGCACATTCTCGTGCATTTCTAGTGCATGGAGTCAGTATGCATTATCTTTCCTGGCTGGACCTCGTCATACTTGGCGTTCGTGAAGCTCAGTCCTTCAGAGGAAAGCGTGCTTTCAATTTTAATTTTTTTGGCATTTGTTTTTGTTGATTAGTGACAGTTTTTTCATAAGATGAACCCTCTTATCTCTAGACTAGGCCAATGTGGTCGAACATGACTTTGAATAATTATGAAGGTGTAGGCTACGTGATTATGCTTTTAGAAAGTCAATACCATTGGATTTCCTATCTTAGAATGGACAGGACTAAAGAAAGCTGAATGTTTTCCTTGCGGGGCTGGGGTGAAGGAAAATCTAGTATTTAAGTATCCTCATGTTAAAGGGAGAATTAGGAGACGACCCCGTTCCTTCCCCAACCCGGTCATTTGACAGTTTCTTCTTACAAATGTAAAACCATCTCTAAATCAAGTATGTTTCAATGGAGACTTCTGTAACTCATTCATTATGTCTTATCTCAATATCATCCTTTCCCATGGCAAACCATTCTAATTGGCCCATTTTATCTCAAACAGATCATGTTGTTTGTGAAGAAGAGTTTAAATACGCCATGTTAGCTTTAAACTGTGTATGTCCAGCCACATCTACGCTTATTACACTACTGGTTCATACCTCGAGAGGGCAGTAAGTATAATTTTTTCCTCTGAGATAAATTATATAAACGTAAGTACAATTATGTGATGTGTGCTTATTATTTTCATTTGTGTGCTATCTTCCACCAGTGCATACTGTGTGTTGAAAGGAGTCTAGAGGAGAAAACTGGCCATTACTTGCTGTCCTGTTTCAACACTCTTTGAGATAACTTGTTCTGTCATTTCTTCAGCTTAGAGTTATATCATGGTTACTATTTTTCACCATTAATATTAAAAAAGACACATATAATTTTAAAAACAAGATCCTGACCATCACTGGTCTAAGATCACAGAAACAGTATTTTCTAGCTGGCTGCTGGTGGCTCATGCCTGTCATCCTAGCTACTCAGGAGGCTGAGATCTGAGGACCTCAGTTCAAAGCCAGCCCAGGCAGGAAAGTCTGTGGCTCAAGTTGTAGAGCTCTAGCCTTGAGCTGAAGAGCTGAGGGACAGTGTCCAGGCCCAGAGTTCATGCCCCATGATTGACAAAAAAAAAGTATTTTCCTCAGGTAAGTTTTTATTTTAAAGCTTTAGGATGTGATTAAGCTCAAAAATTAGTTCTGTGATTTTTTAACATGCATTTCAACATAAATGAGACAAAGCAATATTATCAGAAATATCTTTTGCTTTTAGTTACTTTAATGAGTTTCATGAAATGCAGCCTTTTTATTTTTTAACTTTGATGGCCAAGGAAATATTAGGGAGTGAACTTAGTAACTGCTCTTACTTAAAGAGACAAATATTTCACCCCATGTCATAGTTTCTCAGATTCCTAACTTGAGACTGTAGATAAAATGTTGAATTTCTAAGTACATATGACTGTGAACATGCATGTACAATCATTTAAATTCTGAAAGTTAATTGGTGAGAAGTATGAAATGAACTTGAATACAAATCCTTGACAAGCAAAATTCTTTCTTGGGATTTACATAAGGTAGACTAAATGGCTAATATAAAACCAATAGATGCCCAGTGGTATTTCAAAGTAGACCATAAACTCTAACTTCTAATTGAGTTTCTCTTCGGTAGAGATGGTAAGGATTTCTCAAGAGTGAGTTTCTCTAGTTCTTAATGGAGGTATTTTGATTCTGTACATTCACAAAAATTTAATCTGTTCAATGGGAAGGATGCAACAGGAACATGAATGAAATTGTTTCTTTATTTAAAGCAATACTCAGACTTTTGATGCAATTAAACTATTACAAATTCATTTACATGCCAGCTGACAGAATGGAGAACTCACCATGTGTGTTCATAATTTTCCATGCATCTTCATAATTTAATGAGTTAACTTTGATGCCAAACATCTAGTCCAATTCACTGTTGTGCATTCAACTTATACCACCAGGCCATTGATTTTTATTTAATGCAGCTCATAATTCAGATTCAAGTTAAACTATATAACCCTTAGTAAATAATATTTATTGACATTGAACATTGCCCGGATAAAAACTTTTACCTGAGATAAGTTGAAAAGGAAATTGTCTTTCAAAAGACTAACCTGAAAAATTATTTCACAACTAGCTCACAATGATTTTGGTAGTCCACTATTAATTTCTTTGTTAAAGCTTGAGATTTGATTCACAAGCCATCTACTAGGGAAAATGCATATTACCACTTCTTAGCTGCAGAGCACCACGAAGAAATCAAGCCATGAACAGCCACACTGCAATCACACTGCCTTATTCTCTGCGACCTGGGCAGTTACAAAACTCTGCCTATTTTTTGTTGTTGTTGTTTAAGTCCAGTCGTGAGGCCTGAACTCTGGGTCTGGGCGCTGTCCCTCAGCTCTTCAGCTCAAGACTCGCGCTCTACCAACTCTATCTATTCTTATAGATTCACCCGTTTGGTACATTTTCTCTAAATGGAGTCACAAAATGCTGTGTTTGTTTGGTCTGGTATCTCTGGCTTGACACACACGTGCAAAGGATGACTTAATATGCTTTGTACTATACTCATTTTCATGCTGATTATTGGCCAATGATGGGATATATCACATTTCATTCTTCACCATTGCTACTGGGTATATAGGTTGTTTTTCACATGGAGAATGCAGGCATTCGCATTTGTGTAAAAGTTGTTGCGTGGATGAATGCTTTTGGTGTTCTTGGGTATACGTATCTAAGAGCAGGAGAGGTTGATCATATGATCACTCTGTAATCCTTTCCTTAGGGACTTAGCGCATTGTTCAGATGGGCTGCAATATTAAATTTTTAACAACAATGTATTGGGTTCCCAGTCACAGTAGCCATGTTTACAATTTTTCTTTCTTGTGATACCCACTCTTGTGTGTGTGCAGTGATACCTCACCACGTCCTAATCCTCTGAACACTATTTTGTGTTATCTGTTGGTCCAAAAAGAAGATATAATTCTGTGTCTTCTTGAATAAAAATATACTCAGATCCTTTGCCTATATTTATCTTTGATTATTGAGTTATGATAGTTATGTATTACAAATACCTTGTCAGAGGTAAACTGTCACTGGAATACAAATAACCAGCCAAACAGACCATTTAATTTACATTTCTAACGTACTTCATTAAGTATGTTATTTGACCAAAATAAATATGCGTGTGCATGCCCACACGTGTGTGCACACAAGCCAGTCCTGGTGTCAGTCCTAGCGCACTGTCTCTGAGCTCTTTTGCTCAAGGCTAGCACTTTATCACTTGGACTACAGCTCCACTTCCAGCTAATTAGAGACAAGAGTCTCAGGATCTTTCCTGCCTAGGCTGGCTTTGAACTGAGGTCTTCACTTCTTAGTCTTCTCAGTGGCTGGGTTTGGTTACTGTTGTGAGCCACTGGTGCCTGGCTCTCAAGTTTTTTTTTTTTAATCAAAGCTTTTCTGTTATGCATAAATTGAATAGATAGTCAAGATTCCATCATGAACAGAATGTTTGTACTTTTACCTTTGAGTGCCAGTAGAAATTTCAAAAGCTCCAATCTATCAATTTAATAATAAGAGAACAAACTTGGAAACTGAATTAAGTCGTGTAATGGGGAATAGTGCTGACAAGTCTGGGTGTTGTTCTATGCACGCGTTAGAAGCTTGCTAATTAACAAAGAAGCAATGAAATAGTATTAAAATCTTTCTTTTAAAGCAGTAAGATGATGTTACTACTCCCCTCTAAAATAAATAATTATGTATAAGAATTGATAGTCCCGGGCCCTGGGTACCTTATGACTGATACAAAGAGTAAATAAAAGATATGTTATAAAGTCAACAACCCTAGCAATAAACAATTTTTAAGATGCATTTTGAAGCAGAGTGTGTATTATTTGAAGAAAATGATAAACATTAATTCAGAAATGAGATAGACTAACAGCAGTCCTTGGATAGCCAGAGGTCACCCCTGTAAGTGACAGACCTGCCTTGGGAACACAGTAATCATGGAGTTCTGGGTTCTGTTCCAGTACACACAGCTTCATCCCTGCCCAGGTCCCTCCCGACTCTGCCCTGACTTGTGCATGTGGACAGACAGACTCACACGCTAAGGGTGAATTGCCAACCTTGAGCTTGTCTAAAAGGGATAAGCAATATTAATAGGCCCACATGCATTTTTTTCTAATCTGTCTTGAATTTGGAGTCTGTCTGTACAGTCTGACAGTGCTCTAGCCTAGCCTCCCTGGTAGCTCTCCTCTGCTGTTCCATTTTCTTTCCCTATGCATTTCTATGTGTCTTTCGGTCCTAGACGAGTTCCAACGATGAGCAGCCTCACACACACGCCTCACACACACGTGTTTTTGTTGTTCACTGGGGGTTCATTTTGTTCTTCAAAGACTGACCTTTCTCCCCTCATGACTGGCTGGCTTTGAACTAAGATCCTCTGATCTCAGCCTCCTGCTTAGTTAGTTTTATAGGAGTGAACCACCAATGTCTGGCTTATACTGTTTTTCTAAATGCCACATAAAACATGGTACCTGATTTTATAGGAATTCTGTGCTGTTAGAAAGGTGCCAGCTATCATTCTAGATCAGATATCAGATATTCTTATAATAGGAATGGTTTCTCTCTCTCTTTAAGTGGACTACAAAGTAAGACTATTCTAACAATTCAAGTTAGAGTATTTTCTGTGAAAATGATGAACATTGTTCAGATTCTAGAAGTATTTAGGAGGCGTTATGGAGATCTCTTGGGCTGATTGCATATGGGGTGAAATGGAAAGAGAGCAGTGTTTATTTGGACTGAGCAATCAGAATTGCTGTAATTATGCTGTAATTCTGTATACTACTATAGAACATAAGGAAGATTTTACACATTAGAACATTCAGTTTTTGCTTGGTATGTGGTCTAGAGTTAGAGCTGTACTGAAGATGTAAGTAAAGTGTGAGTGATTGCCATCAACATGTGAATAATACCTCAAGTCAGAAGCTGGAAGAAGTCAGCCGATGGACTCACTGAGGCTCATGGAGTGCTGTGGTCATAACAGGTTCAGTTTTGTTGTGCAGCCAGATTCTCTGCATCAAAGTCAATCATGCAATTTGCTGTCTAATTGGACAGGTTGGAGGGAAGCGGGAGACACTTACAACCTTACGTATGGGGTGAAACAAAGTGAGAGACATCCCTTTCTCCACATATATTTATATGTAAATCAGAATATTTGGGGGACCCATGCCAAAATATGGTAACTATCATCATAGCACAAGAATACATGTTAGCTGCTACTTTATTTGGATATTTTTGGGCTGATGTTATTATTGAGCATATAGATAGCAATAGATTTTCAAGTTTACTGTGGCTCAAGTGGTAGAGTGCTAGCCTTGAGCTGAAGAGCTGAGGGACAGCTCCCAAGCCCAGAATTCAGCCCCCACAACCAAAAAAATAGTCATGATATGTATCTTCTCCATGTCTACTCTTTGGAGTCACTGTAGTAGGTTTTACAAAAATTAGAATGAAATATATTTTGAAGAAGATGAGGGAAAGACCTACAGTGTTGTGCCTTTTCATTATCTAGTGGTCAAACATTTAGTCCCAAGATTTGTAGAGAAGAG